CTTGCGGAATGTGCTCGGGTGGCAGCCGTTTTCTCTGGAGCTGTGACGACTGGTGAGTACGCTTGGGTGGGTAGCGTAGTTCTTACTTTGCTCCTCAATGTGGTGGCACGGTCTGGATGGACGCGACTCTGCCTCTTCCTGGCTCTCAAGAAGGCCGCAGGGTTGAAGCGGGCTTTGTTCTTTGCACCGACAGCCTTTGGCAAGCTACATGATGAGATCAAGATCTATGCAGGCTACTTCAGGTTTCCGGCAATTTTTGCCTTGGTTTTGAGCAGGGCCTTGGTTTATCAGAACTTATCTTTGTCTGGACCTGGATCTCCAGTGTACAATGCATCTGCGGGAGCCGCCTTGCTGTGTCTGCTGGTTGCAGAATACCTTGAAGACTTCATCGTGATCCAGCAGATTGTTCCCATGAGCCCTGTCCTTCCTGAACTCATCGACTATGATCTTCAGAAGAGTTCACGGCATACAAGCTACCTAAGCGCGGAGGTTCGCAGAATGTGCCCGGATGACTCTCAGACGGGCTGGCGCTTGGATGAACTGAATGACAGCGGCTTCAAGAAAAGCGGTGCAAGGACGCTACAAATGACTTCACCATGTGGTGACAGGTCTAAGTTGTCTTCTATCTTGCCTCTACCTGAAAGCTCAGGAGGAGGGCAAGTTCCGGGTACGTCAGTGCAACCTCCACGACTGGTTTGCATTCGTGGGCCCGAGGACAAGCCTCAAGCAAAGCCATGTGCTAATGCTCAAGACGCTCCCAATGCACCAGCGCAACAGTCAGTTCTTCTTGTGAACGTTGCAGGTGATTCACGAAGAGCCAACTTGCCAAGGCAATCAGCTCTTCATGTCATTAGCAACAGTTCTCAGCCAAAGTCTGACACGTCCAACATGTCAGAACAGCCAGCTGGATCTTTAGATGTTCCAGTTGAAAAGTCACAGAGGCAATCAATGCTGGACGCGAATCTTCGCATGGGGAGGCAGGCAAGCAACAGTTCCACTCTTCAGAGAAACTCTTCAAGGAAATCAATGCTTGACGTTAATGTTGTCATCGGAAGGCGTACTAGCAATGACTTAAATGCTCAGAGAGCAACTTTACCAGTACAGGTATGGCAGGATATGAATTCTCCTGTGGGGAGTCTGATCAGCAGTGCTTCCAATGTTCGGAGATCATCGCTGGATCTTAATCTTCCCATTGGGAGGCGTACTAGCAATGACTCAAATGCTGAGAGAGCAAATTCACCAAGGCAATCAATTCTTGACGTGAATGTTCCGTTGGGGAGGCAGATGAGCGGTGATTCATGTGTTCTGAGAGGAAACTCGCCGAGAGAATCTGGGAGGCAGATTAGCAACAACAGTTCTCTTCAAAAGTCTGATGCTTCCAGCTTGTCAGAAGATGCCAAGGCTTTAGCGCCAGCTGTGTCTCGTGATGTTTCGACAGCTCCATTGGGGAGGCAGATTAGCACCGGTTCAAACCGTCAGAGAGACTCCCCGAGGCCATCAATGATTGAAGTGAATGTTGGCATGCAAAGGCAGATTAGCAATGGCTCAAATGCTGCCAGAGCAACCTCGCCAAGACGATCACGGCTTGAGCCGAATGTTGCAGATGAGAGGCAGTTCAGCAACGGTTCTCTTGCTCTTCAAAAGTCTGATTCCAACTTATCAGAAGATGCAAAAATGCCACAATTGGTGGCTTCGCTGGGACAGCGAGGGGGCTCGAAGCCTTCAGCGATACGCCGCTGGTTTGGCCAGAAGCGGGCTGTGCAGCCTTCCCTTTTGCTTCATGGGTTGCGAGAATTGCCCTGGGATTGTCAGCTCAGTGCAGTTGCAATTGTATGCGAGGTGACTTGTGCCTTCTTAAATACGACCCTCGGACCAGGGTATGTCCGCGGTGTGGCCCCTGCTCCATGCAAGGATTTTGACGTTTTGGGTGCAGTGATATGGAGATCGCCGCTCCGTTGCTAACGACTGTGAGACCAGGATCTGTCCGTGACGTGGATGCTGCTCACTGCAAGGGCTTTGATGTTTTGGGTGCTGCGAGATGAGTGCCGCTTCCTCGCTGACAGCCGATCAGCCGATCAGCCAAACCGGCGTTGATTGAAGCCCCCCGAATGGATGGGTGCTGGAAATCCGGCTTGACAGGGCCATGCCATTTGGAGAAATGACAGAAATGCGAAGACATGCAAAGACTCGAAGACTAGTTGTGCGACTTTGGCATCGAATCATAAGCATCAGAAGAGGGGAATGAGAAAGGTTCGACTGTTAGGTTCGTTTGGTATTTTGTTCCACAGACAGGCAGTGTAAGTTTGTGGCACTTTGTGTCAGCTTTGGCTGCGGAGGCTCCGGAAGATGAAGCCGAAAAGGATGGTGCAGAGGAGGCCATAGCTCCATTGACGTGGGATTTGGGCAAATCGATGTTAGCTGGCCAATGGGCAAACGCACGCCTTTACTCCATGTTGAACAAACATGGAAGTGCAAGATGTGCAGCTACTGTAGAGGAGCATGGCTTGCCGTCAAGCAATTTTCCACTTTCTTGTTCTTCAAGACGAAGTAACTATATACAGTAAAAGTTATGTTCTTCAGGGTGCCTTTTCGTCCATTCTACTACAATACATGGACACGAGTCTTCCTTTTTTGAGGAGCCTCCTCAGGAAGATGCACCCCTTGAGGAGGTGATGGATGAACCTGATGAGGCCATGGGGCAGAGGAAGAAGCCATTTAGGTCATTTTTGTTGATTCGGGACTCCTATGGGGGTGGTTATTCACACGGGAACGGGGTTACAATATTGTATAGCTGCTTCATCACATCACTAGAGTCTCAGAGAAAATCTAAAAAATAAAGAGGTCAGGTAAATGCAGCGGCTTCAACCACCTTCCAATTCAAGAAGTTCACAGTCCCCAGGTCCATGGTTTCCGAGTTCACAGTTCAAAGCTCCGAAGAATGCACATCCGCGGAGCTGAATCATCCCGTAACAGCCTGAAGGCCCCTACGAGTGGAGAGTGGCCAACACATTCACAACAACTTCCGGTGCAGGTACCCCGAGATAATCACACTCGGCATTCCATGATTGTGGTAGCTTTCTTGAGTGCTGCCGCACACTCATGCCGCGCCCCCTGCAAAGTGCATATAGCGCCGAGAGGCACCTTGTGACTCCAAAGCCTACACACACAGAGACATGTTGTAATTACATATGTGCACTGCTGTCTTCAGGCGCATGCCCTTTTATCAGCTTGATGTGGAACTGCCAAACCACGTAATGACGTAATGAATTGTCTCCTGTGCGTTTGGAACACAGGCCCCCGGCCTAAGCCAGATACATTGTCGCAAGCTTGGTGGTGTACTATGACGTACTGTGACCAATGACCTCCGTGCCATTTTTGGCACCTAGTTCTCACTTGGTGGGGCCCAGGTGAGGTGGAGGAGGATCATGTGGAGCCTTGGCTAGACAGGGGCAGGCACGTGCAGACTGCTAGAGGATTCGGCGGGAGTAGGCCAAAGTCATTCCTTCGGCATGCTGAGGACAGCACACTGCAACTTATGTTGGATTTATCCGAAGATCAAGAGCCAGGCCATGAGACGGCAAGTGTCAAACCTGTGGTGAAGAGATGCATGTTGCCAATGCAAGGGAAGCCCAGTGAGAACACCCAAAGCTACAGACAGAGGGGGTACTGGGGGGTGTTGCTTATAAATCATAAATTGTTCTGATTGATGCCAGGTCCCTGACCCAAAAGCCGCCCACCTTACGTGTGTTTTCTTGCTAGTCCAGAGGTTTTCCTACCTGATCCAAGCCTCTCCTGACACCTGGACTTTCTGTCCTAACTTATAACGTCCATCTTGCAGGCGGCCCGTGTCGTGGGGCAAAAGGCCATGTCTTCGAGCCGGACCCAAGCATCGAGGCGTACGTAGTGGTGTGATGCGTGTGGTGTGTTTGGCAGAACTTTGCAGAGCCCTGGCAGGTCGACGCGGTGGAAAGCCCACAAGATCCAGCCAAGCCGGCCGAGCCCACCGAGCCAGAACTGCCCAAGCCTGACGCCATCGAGGCAGAGATGGACTGGCGACCATGAACATATGATACCATATGCATTCATATGCATTCATATGCTGCATTTGTTAGAGTATGGGTTGCCAGGGCTGGAGATCAGTGATTTGGGTTGAAATGGTTCAGTTCCAGCGGATTCCAGTGTTTCCATATGTTCCCATGTAGCACTGCCATGGATGTCGCGACGTCCGGCCTCAGGTCTTTGAGAATCCACCGGAGTCACCTGCCGATGGCCTCAGTGGGTGGCAGTGGGTGGAGAGGTTGGACAGAGTCAGTTGCTGAGATGGCTAGAAGTCGGACTCAAAAGCCAAGGGTATGGTATGGTATTCTGATGGCCCCATGACTCATGTTCCTATTTCATTCTGATGTTTTCTCGATTCCGGTCCCTTCCTCAAATCAAACCTGACATCCTTCATTCTGCAAGCCTACCAGCCATGCTCCGTCCCTGTGTGAAGCTTTCAGGCCAAATGTCAGAGTGCGCCCGGTTCCTCAGGGTTTGGGTCCGACGAGGAGGCCTTTGGTGTTTTGTTGGGTCAGTTGCACCCTTCATTGTGACCAGTGGAGGCTATAGCGGCTAGATCGCAAAAGAGAACAACAAAACAAGCATATAAACGGGAACCACCGGGCGTCCACTTTCAGCACTCATGCCTTCTGCATGTTGGTTGGCACTGTCTCCTATACGAGGCCGGGGGCTTTCGTGCCCGACTCTTTGCTCGACGAGGCACGTGGAGCGATGGAAAAGATGGATGGAGAGTTTCTCTTAGACGACTTTTCACACATCCCATGCAACATGATTCGGTGTCTCATACGTGCATGACCCATGTGCTGTATTTGCAGCTTGGGTATCCAGAATCCAAAGGCTTCTGAGTCCTGAGTTCTGAGTTCTGCCATGGGCATTAAGATCATTAAGCGACAGATTCAAAACCAGGAAATGACACTGAAGAATATCGGTCTCCCCAGTGGTTTCGCCCTATGTGCGTGTGAACATGGGGCTCAGAGGTGAGCCTTGCTGTGCCGCAGGTGGAGTTCGTTGGAGTGTGCGAGGTGGGTGTCTTGGACAGACTTCTGGAGGGTGGTGGCGGTTGAGCCGCTCCCGCGCAGTGCCTTGACACCACGATCATTGGTAAGAATATTTCGACACCAGTCAGGCTTCACAGCCTTACCCAGGCACCCCAACTCCCGCATCATTTGAGCCTTCAGGCTGCTCCATTGGCTCCATCGGCCCCTCCCGCGGCCGTTGTGGCCGAGGCTGTGGGATGCGACACCACTCACCAATGCTATTTCTATCATTTTTCCAAAATGGTTTGATATGGTTTGTTTATGTCTGTGTGATTCATGTGCCACCTTTCGAGGGCCCAACTGAGGTGCTTGGATCATTTTGGACGGCCCGGATCGGTGCCCCGCGGGGCATCTGGCTCGACTCAGGCGGCAGAAGCGCCGGAACCGCCTCCAGCAGACGCCCCCGGAACGGCGGCGGTGGAGGCCCCCGCAAGTGGGTGCAATTGGGGTGAGTGGTCCAGGTAAACATGGTAAACGAAGCAGTCCGACAAGCGAGTGGCAGGAATTCTGAGAAGTGAGTTTGTAGAGCTGAAAGTGTTGCATGTTGATGCTATTGAAGTTTAGCGCATCAGCCTTTTTCATGCGAGGTATATACAATTTCTTTTAACTGGACACTGGATCAATTTTGCTTGAAACTTGAAAACAGCACCAGTTAAATGGCAGCAGCTGTGGAGCTCAAGAGGAGGCAGCATGCAATTCCAAAGCACAGGGCAAATGGCGACAGTTTCAATGAACTTCCACGCACTTAGTCTGGGCTGCTTGTGCAACCAAGATTCTACAAAAACATACTGTACAAAAACACCGATGCTTTGTGAGATATTTGTTTTCCTTTGGCATTGACATTTGGATCCTCAGTCGTTTGGGATGTCTTTGGCCCCAGCGTTTTGCGCAGCCTGGCTGTAGTTTGCCCATGCAGTTTTCACCCTAACTGTTGACGAAACTGGCATGGCTTGTTTGCAAAAGTCATCCGTTTCCTTTTGGCCTCTGAGGCACCATCCACCCCTGGACCATGGATTTCATCGACCGCCAGGAAATCTACCCATTTGATCCACCAAAAGCTGACGAATTCAGGTGCCGAGTGGGCCAGGTAGCTTCTTAGTAGCGTTCTTGTTTCTAGTAGTAAGGCCAGGAGCGCCCCTAATAGCGTCCTTGCTCCTAGTGGCCACTAGGAGCAAGGACAAGCCAACTTTTGCCAACTTGGTTGCCCGGAAAGGCCAAACTTGGACTGCAGGCCTTGGAATAGCACGCCACACTGCGCTTGCGGCACTGCTGCTCCGAGAAGCCATGGTCATTCGGCGGAGCGACACATCGTGCGTCGCATCGTGCGCCGCATCGTGCGCTTTACTGCGCCTGTGCAGTAAACATACTGTAATCTGAACCTAATTGCTTGCTCTGAAAAATCGGCTGTATATAACGAACTGAAGGATGATACCAGTGATTTGAGCAAATTGAGTGGGCAGGAGGAGACGGACTTTCAAGAGGGGTTGCCGTGTGGTGCTGCGCTCAGCCAAGGGGCGGCCAGCCGACTGCTAGGGCCCTACAGAAGGTAGTATACCAGCAGTTTGCGGAGCCAAACAAGCTAATGTGTCCGAATGGCTTGGCGACGGGGAAAGCAATGACAAGCAAGAAACGATGACAGCTTCAGCTTCACCATCACCAACGAACGAGCAATCAGCCCAATCAAAGGTGAGTGAGAAGATCAAAAGGTAATACTAATAATTGGAAACAACACGACACCAGGCAAACTTGGGGAAGTTTCACTGCAAATAGCAACACCCATCAGCAATGAAAAACAGCCAACACCCAAAGAGCAAACAAAACGGATCAACATGGCAAGACAATGACAACCCTGTGCTAATGAAAGTGAAACGTAAATGACAAAGAAGCGACAACATGAAACCACATATGACAAATCAATTGACAAATAAACACCAAACAGAATGACAACAACAAACACATGACGAATAGAATGACCAACACAAACTGATAACAGAACAACATAACTATATAATAACTATTTTGCTGTTTTCAGTATAAGGCTGGCTAAGTTTCTTCTTTGGTCATTGTGTCATTTTCATCCTGTGAGGCTCGTTGGGCCACAGCGACCGCCACCTTTACGCCTGAAGACGTTCAGCTCTCGGGCCAGGAACCGATGTTCTGGCACGCGAGTGGAGTCTTTTGCAAAGGTGGTGGTCGTTTATGATCGCAACTCCAAGCAAGCGGGGGAAGTCTGTGCCTCAGCCTGGGACGGTGGTCGCTGGTGTGTGTTCAGTCGACATGTTGTGCAGGTGGTGGTGGCAGTGGAGAGGGTCACGTTGCCACGTTTCTCACCTGCACTTTGTAGGGAATGAGGGAATGGATCCAATGGAACCTTAATAAGGGAGCTCATTCCCTTATTCCCTACGAGTTGCACCAGTCAGGTTTTCGAGTTTCTCAGTTTCGGTCCTTTTTCGCATCCATCGCTGTCACGCTCCGCAATGGCCAGGACAGCTCAATGGCTCCCCGCAAGGTGGACTATGCTGTCCTCGCTTCCAGTGTCCGGGCCTTGATCTATAAGGTCGGGTGAGGATAAAACATATTAAAATACATGTGAATGTCAACACGAACCTACTGAGGATATAGATGAGTTGCCGTGAACCTTTTTAGAACAACTAAGTCTGGTATGGCCCTGTCTTCTAAGTCTGAGGCTCATGTCAAGTGAATGTATATAATATCTTATAATCCTAAATGATCAATGAATCAACCCACTGAGCAGCAGACCACCGGATGCCGAACTGCCCAGGATGCTTCTGGCTTGGCCGAGTTGGCAAGGCAGCGGGGCTTGGAGGAAAAGGACCTGGATCGCTTGAGGCGTCCGGCCTCAGCCTCCGCGGTGCTTCCGAGTGGGGCGTTGATAGAGGACAGACTGCAACTTCAAGTACTTACTAGTAGCTAGAAGCTACTATGGGCAAGGATTTGTTCAGATGCCTTGCGGCATGAGGCGGATCACTGACAACCAGCCATCGGGCTCCAACGTTTCTTCCACACCCGGAGTCGCCCAGTGATTTTCTTCGTTTCTTCCCATGGCGTGCTTCGATGAGCACCTTGAGCTCCCCGAACAGCGTGATGCGCCTGTTCCTCGGGGCTGGTCGATGAAGCTCGGCCACCGGAAGCGCCACAGCGCTCGCGCCACCGTCAGCGAGGTCGTGCTCTGCGGCCGCTCCACGGTGAAGCGCAGCGTGAACTCCGGCAGACGCTGGGAGAACCCGGGCTTTTGGGAGAAGAAGGTCCAAAGCTGCAGGAGACTCATGGAGATCACAACATGTACAGAACATGCCAAGAAGGTCCTTTTTTTGAAGTGGATGGTGATCATGACGTTGTGAGATTTGTAAGATTCTTTCTGTAGGTGATTTTACTCGAATACAGCTGACTGGACAAGGGGAGCGACAGAATGCGGTATGCTTTATATACCGTATCCGTATAATTCTGTGTATACATAGGTATTAAACACAAAAACCTATTGTGCATTATCAAGCCGCAGTGGATCTTGGGTGAGTCCTTCATTTTTCCCCACCTGTCAGGTGAGGGTTGTTAGATTTTACGTCAGCCCCATCTCCCGCCTCCTCCTCCGCCTCCTCCGCCGGACCTCAACCACGACCACCCACGCCCAGTGTTCCCTGCCGGACCTCAACCGCGAGCTCCAGACCCAAGTGTTCCCTGCCGGACCTCAACCACGACCATCCGCGCCCAGTGTTCCCTGCCAAACCTCAACCGCGAGCTCCAGGCCCAAGTGTTCCCCACCGGACCTCAACCGCGACTGTGCGCCCAGTGTTCCCTGCCGGACCTCAACCGCGAGCTCCAGGCCCAAGTGTTCCCTGCCGGACCCCAACCACAGCACAACACACAACCACAAACACAATCATACCACGACAATCACAATCACAAACACATAACCACAAACACAATCACAAACACACAACCACAAGCACAACCACAAACACAATCACAAACGCAGCCACAAACACACAACCACAAACACAATCACAAACACAACCACAAACACACAACCACAACCACACAATCACAAACACACAATCACAAACACACAACCACAAACACACAACCACAAACACAACCACAAACACCCAACCACAAACACAATCACAGACACACAACCACAAACACAACCATAGCCACAACCACAAACAGGCAATCACAAGCACACAACCACAAACACAACCACTGCCACGGTCACAAACACGCAATCCTAAACACACAACAACAAACACAACCACAAACACAATCACAAACACAACCGCAAACACACAATCACAAGCACACAATCACACCGACGCATCCACAGCACACAACCACAAAGACGCAACCACAGCACACATCCACAAGACACAACCACAGCACAGAACCACAGCACACAACTACAACACACTACCACAACAACACGCAACCACAGCACACAACCACAACGCACAACCGCAGGACCCAAGCAAAACCGAGAACCACCAAACGTAGCATGGCTTGTAAACATATGATTGAGATGTCATGATGGGGATCACTCGAAACAAAATAATTTTTGAACTCTCCAGGCAGTGGCGTAGCGTTGTCGATGACATGATGGATGCTGTCTCAGAGCTTGAGACTGACGACATTTGGTTAGCTTGGGAGGTGAGTGAGGATGAGGGCCTTTGGAATGACATGGAGGAAGTTGAGGACCTGGTGTGGGGTTTGGGGCCACAGGGCAGCTGGCAGAATCAAGACTTCACATGACTTCACCAATTACTGGTAGATTGATAGCTTGAACACATATTTTTCTTGGCTTTTACTGTAACTGTACTTTAGGCAATTGAATCTCTCAGCTCATGAGCCAGGAGGACTTCGATGACTGCAGCAGTGCGGACCTCTCCACTACGGCCTCCACCTGCGAGCTGCCAGTGAAGTACCCCACACGGTGGGAGAAGGCCCTCGAGCACGCGCAAGTGGTGGCCAAGGGGATGCTTGGCAGACACCAAGTCAGAGCATGTTACAGTAGGAGGCTGGATGAAGTGGTTAGACACTCTCCGGGGAAGTGGTTTTCTTTGGGGCCCAGTTCTGTTTCCGCTTTATTCAACGGGGACTTTGCAGAAATTGCCATTGGCCCTGTGCGGTTGCTTCAGGTACCGAGATGGACCTGCAGAGACGGCCACCAGCCGAAAGTCTGAGAATGAGAAGATGAAGGATCCTGAGGCGATTGGTTGAGACATGTTCAGATCAAGTCAACTGATAGAGCACGATTCATGTTAGATCAGTCGTTCACGCTTTCAAAAACATTTCAGGTCTTTAGCAACTTTAGCATGCCGCAAAATTACACATTGCACACAAACTCCACCAACAGTTGCAAACTGAATGACCATGAGAACCGGTGGATGCTCTTCAACCGTCCAGACACCCAGGTGCAACGAGTGGCCCAGACCTTGCAAGCGCAGCGTGTGAAGTTGTGCTGCCCTGAGCTCCAGCATCGCCTGCATGACACCTTCGACGCTGCGCTGTGGACGTGGGATGTCGGGGTTTTGCTTTATTATTTTGAGATCCAGGTGGTCCATGTCTTGGGAACTCTGTGAACCGCGGGATAGCTCAAAGTCTTGTCGGAGCTCTTCTCACATGGCCTATCATGGTATCCAATGGTATCCAATCCAATCCCGAACCAAAATACTACGCTGTATGACCTGCTCTGAGGTGATGTCGGTAGGTGCAGTAGCTAGTTAGGTAGGTAGGTAGGGTTTTTAGTTGAAAACCTTGGTTTGAAAGGAAGAGTTCCGGATGAGCTTTCTGGAGAAGTTCGGTGAGACCCTCAGCCGTGGCCTTCAGTCCTGCTATGTTGGTGATGTGGAGTTGAGGGCGGCACCCGTGAACAAGTCTTTGCAATCCAGATTCCTGAGCTGCAAAGACAAGCAGCCAGACACTCTCTCCCCGGTCCTCCATGGCACTGATGAGAGAAACCTGCCTTCGATCTACCAAAAAGGACGGGATAGGTTTTCGAGCCGTTTTGGCCATTTAGCTATGGGAAAGACTAAAGATGGGAAAGCAATCAAAGACTAGCTTGCCAGGGCCAGGGGGAATTTTCCTTGAATATTCTGAATGACTCATTTGTCATCCAAAATGGTAGCGGTTGAAGATGTTTTGGAACGTTGGTGCTCTGCTGGCTTGGGTGTCTTGCATGTCGGACGCGCACCAGGACTCTTGGTGCCTGCAGGTGATAACAATGTGAAGGTCCTCCATGGTTCTTCTCATGGCCGGGGCATCTACACCTCCAAGACCAACAACACAGCGCTGTCCTTTGGCTTCTCCAAGGGCCTCGCACGCCCTCTTCTCATTTGTGCCGTGCTTGACGATGCTGTAGCCTTGCCCAGTCCGGTGCGCTGCGGAAACCACTACATCACAGCCGAATCTGCACAAGTGCGATGCCCGGCAGCAGAAGCCACCGAGAGGTCCGTGACCTCCGCTTTTGCTTGACCGTCTGGTGGGTCCACAGGGTCTTCAACGTCCATCCGAGAAAGCGATGCCAGGAGCCCCTAGTAGCTTCTTGTTACTACTAGTAAGGCACTTGTTACTAGTAGCTTTTTGTTCCTAGTCGTAAGGCCAGGAGCCCCTAGTAGCGTCCTTGCCCCTAGTAGCGATGCCCTTTGCTCCTAGTAGCTTCTTGTTCCTGGGTCTCCAACGTCCATCCGAGAAAGATTCAGGTGCTGAAGCGCCAGTCGGTCGGGATGAATATGTATATATATATATATGTATGTATGTATGTATGTATGTATGTATGTATGCAATGTAATGTAATGTAATGTAATGCAATGCAATGTAATGTAATGTAATGTAATGTAATGTATGTATGTATGTAATGTATGTAATGTATGTATGTATATGAATATGTTGAATCAATCCCTTCGCAGCTGAACGATGAACGAAGAGTGCTGTGAAAGATGAGCGCAGCGCGGAGAGCTATCTGAGGACATGTGGGCGACGCCATCGTGGTCTTCGACGAAAGCAAGCTCCTGCCGCTCTTTGTGGCGTCCTACCCGACCCAAAGTCTTCCGAAACAGGTGACCACTTCCACGGCGACGTCCGCGACATCTGCAACGATCGTCCGCGACCCGCCTGACGTGCCGCCCGACAAGACTCTCGGTGAAGTCTGGAGCCAGAATGCAGAGAAAGGAGTGCCAGGACATCTGTAGGACTTACATGGATTTGCAATGAAAAGGTCATAAAAGGTCTAATGATTCCACCTTCTTTCAGGGATGCCACATGGAAGAAGGCATGGCTTGAGGCGAATGATTTACTGTAATATCATTGGTCATGGATGCAACTGAGGAAGAAGCACAGTGTCGGTCCAAGGACACGTCTAAAGCCGCGCCTAGGCCAACAAGAGACGCATGGAAGATCAGTTGTGAAATTGAACACGCATTGACACATTGACCTGAATGGGGAGTCCAGCCCGTCCAGCCCCCCAGATCCACAAGCACTTCGAAGACCAGCCTATGATGTTGCCAAGGACTCAGGGGCTGAAGTCTCGGGTTCAAGAAGCCGTGGACTATCTGCAGCGTCGTGGGGCTCGGAAGCGACGTCCATGACAAGGGGTCTTCCTACGTCCATGGCTTTCAATGGCTTCCATTGGAGGCCTATCTCACTTTGCAAAGACATGACAGGCTACATGAGGTTGGATCCTTTAGGACCTGCTTGTTAGATCTTATATGATCTTATGATCTCAATCTTGAGGGTTCTCTTCTGCACTCTTGCTTCAGGTGTCGACATTCGCCCATGCCGCGATCGAAGACGCTGGCCCGACTCGAAAATGGATCCAATGGAGATGTCTCTATCGTCCCACTCGTTCCAGGGTTGGCTATTCCTTCGACATGCACGTTCGGTGAGCGTGCACTCGTGGGACCGAAGGCACTTCTTGTACAGTTTTCGCTTGACAGCCATGTACAGTGTACAGAAATTAGGTCAAGAGGTATTATCATACCACTCCACGACTGTGGCCCTTTCCTGGTTTCTGCACCTGCACACCGGGGTTGGGCAAAACAGTATTCAAGAGATATTCAAAGAGAGAATCATGACACCCGCCAGGGACCTCAAGAAGGGAAGACGATCAAAGTACTGTACCTGTGGGCACTGTGGCCCTCCGGTCATCTCCATGTGGCCCTCCGGTCAGCGCAGCTCTCCCATGTGCAGGACCTTGAGATGGATCCCTGGCCACTCTTGCGGGAGCTTCGGTACCGCACCTGTGAGGGGTCTCAGCCACGGTGTGGAATCTCAGCCGCCACGTTCCACCACGGTGTGGCTGAGGTTTGGAATATCCCAATGCCAAGGAACAACGTGAAATGGAGGAAAGATACCTGAAGCCTCTGAGGCCAAAGCCTAAGCACCTGGGTTTCAGATTGTATATATATATATATATCCTTGGCGCGTATTTTAATTGTTGGAGGTCCATGAAAGGCCCTTGGTGGAAGCAGCCAGAGGCCGGTGCCCCGGTCAAAGATACAGGCCGCTGATTGGAACCGTCTGAGGCCTTGGAGATCTTAGCCAAGCAACTGGACGAGGTGCACAGGGGCGTTTCACAGCTGAGCGCACAGAAGAGGCATCTTCTTTGCTCCAGACCATTTCTTCGCATGCTAGATTCTAAAATGAGTCCATTATATACATTTGTATAGTCGTATGCCCAACGCACATATACACTTTTATTTATGGCTCAAGAGACACAAGGGCCCATTACCGTCCAGCTCCTCCTTCACACCTCTCCTGCAGCAATGGCCAGCCGAGTGCGCACTGCCGCCGATGCGCCTATGCCACCTGATGCGGCCTTGAAGCTTTTGAAAGAAGGCAATGCCCGCTTTATCAAAGGTGAGCCACAGGCAACTCGAACCAACGAAGCCATGCGCCAGCAGCTAGTCGACATGGGCCAGGCCCCACACACAGCCATCATTGGTTGCGCTGACTCCCGCGCTCCTTTGGAGACGATCTTTGACACCTTGCCGGGAGACATCTTCGTGCTGCGCAACGCTGGCAACACTTGTACTCATGCTGAAGGTTCCATGGTGGGCAGCTTGGAATTCTGCACGGGCAAATTGGGTGCTCGCATGATCTTGGTTCTGGGCCATACCAAGTGCGGTGCTGTCTATGGTGCCACAAATGCATACCTGGAGGCAAAGAAGAACGAGGTGTCAAGTGTGAACTCAGCCCTTGAAGGCCTCTTGCTGGACTTGGCTCCAGTGGCAGAGAAGGCAGTTGCAGACATGGGTGCTCACAGTGATGCAGATGAAGTGGCTGCCCATGCTGTGAAGGTGAATGTCTTCCACACCATCGACTTCTTGCTGAAGTACAGCGCCCCCATCCGTGAAAAGGTGAAGAGTGGACAGGTTGAGATCCAGGGTGGTATCTACCACCTTGACACAGGAAAAGTGGAATTCATGGGGCGATCTCCCCAGCAGGCGGAACTTTTAAGCTCCAACTTGGGTCTCCCTCCGTCTATGACCCGCGAGGGTGGCCGCGCTGGTGGCTATGGCCCACCCGCACGTGGCGAACATGGAGTGCGCACCACTGTGGACAGTGCGGTGCCAGCTGAAGAAGCTTTGCAGATGCTTAAGGCTGGCAATGAGAGGTTTGCTGTGGGTGCTCCGCTGGCCAAGCATGCTACTTCCAAGATGCGTGAGGCACTGGTGAGCCATGGGCAGGCCCCCCACACGGCCATCATGGGCTGTGCAGATTCCCGTGTGCCCGTTGACACTGTGTTTGATGCCATGCCAGGAGATTTGTTTGTGTTGAGGAACGCAGGCAACACATGCACTCATGCAGAAGGCTCCATGGTTGGCAGCCTGGAGTTCTGCTGTGGCAAGTTGGGATCCAAGCTGATTCTGGTGCTTGGTCACACGCAATGTGGAGCCATTGCCGGTGCCACCAACACGTATCTTGCCAGCAAGGATGGGGGTGCCTCCAAGAGTGCAGGCAGTGCCCTGGAGGGACTGTTGGTTGGCTTGTCCCGTGTGGCACACCAGGCCGAAGAGGAGCTTGGTGTTGGTGCGGAAAGTCACAGGTTGATTTCCCATGCCGTGAAGGTGAATGTCTTCACTTCCATTGACTTCCTGTTGAAGTACAGCGAGCCTTTGAGGCAGCTTGTGAAGAGTGGCAACCTGGAAATCCAGGGTGGCGTCTACCATCTTGAAACTGGTCGTGTGGAGTTCATGGGCCGTTCACCGCATCAGGCACAATTGCTGGCATCTGACTCCAGCCTGCCACCGTCCCTGCAGGCTTTGCCAATCCGAACGACAACTGATGGGCCCATGCCACCAAAGGAGGCAATGAAACTTCTGAGGGAGGGCAACGACCGCTTCGCTGTCGGTGCAGCAGTTGCCGGCAAGATCAGTTCTGACATGAGGAAGGCTTTGGTGAAGGAGGGTCAGGCGCCCCACACCGCCATCATTGGCTGTGCAGACTCTCGTGCACCTTTGGAGACCGTGTTTGATGCCATGCCTGGTGACATCTTCGTGTTGCGCAACGCAGGCAACACTTGCACTCATTCCGAGGGCAGCATGGTCGGTAGTTTGGAGTTCTGTCTCGGCGCCCTGAACACCAAGATGGTGATGGTGCTCGGGCACACTGCTTGCGGAGCTATTAAGGGTGCAACCGCGACCTATTTGCAGTGCAAAGCAGGCAACAAACCTCAGGTGACGAAAGCCTTGGATGCACTCCTCGTGGGGCTCAGCGATGTTGCCAAAAAGGCCTCTGTTGAGTTGGGTGAAGGTGCCACTGAGCAACAGATCGTGGCGAAGACCATCAAGCTGAACGTTTTCCACACCATTGACTTCCTGCTGCAGTACAGCCCCCTGATTCGAGAGAAGGTCGCTGCGGGTGAAGTGGAGATCCAAGGCGGCATCTATGACCTGGAGACTGGTCGTGTGGAATTCCTGGGCGAAAGCCCAAATCAAGCCACCTTGGTGAAATCCGGGGCTGCGATGCCTCCATCGTTGGCCTAGACTCAGGTGTGCACAGCACCGCATTGGCGCAGAATCTGCGCCAACAGCGTTGCAGTGGGGTCCCCATTTTTACTTTTGACATTTTCTGGCAGATTTTCTAAAAATTAATCATGCCCGCAGCAACAAGGCTGCTATTTCCAACTGCTGTCCCAGCAGCTGTATTTTGCGCCGCAGACGCTGCAGCATGCGGTGCTTTGATGCTTTTAATCTTTCACGGACAAGCACCATAAACACCCCCAACGTGCACAGATCGGAAAAACAAGACACTTATCATTTATAGTATAAATTATAGAGCTTATAGCCTTCAGATCCTACAGCCTATAGCAGTACTATAGCATACACCAGTTCCTTCTTCCCGACCTGCAGGTGGGTTTCGTTGTCATCGATGACTTTCTGCCGGAGGAAGTGGTGCGGTCTGTGAAGGCATTGGACGCGTCAGAGAACACAGTGAAGTGCTTGTGAATAAGGGAACCTGGGAAAGCTCCTAATTCACCACAGCGGCAGCACCACCACCAGCTTGTCTCTCAACAAGTTGGAAGTTGCACATTCCAACCTGTCCTCATGCGGGAGTGGTTGAACTGGTTTGGGCCTTCAATTTTTTCGTCAATGATGTGCACCAGGCGAACAATATGAAGCTCTACGAGCATTCGGAAATGCAGGAAGGCAAAACAACTGGTGGCCATTCTCTCAGTTGGCGTCCCAACCAATAGTCCAACACCTTCCCAACAGGGTTGCAGGAGGACTCCAGGAGGACTCCAGGAGGACTCCAGGAGGACTCCAGGAGGACCCTGGCAACCAACGAAGGAGTTCACCCGCTCATTTTTGGGCTTCGGGTCCTAAGGCAGCGAGAGGGTTGGCATCGCCCACCGTTGGGAACCCGGCATCTCTCGCCATGGTTCGCGCTGCGTACGGCGTGGCTTAGGTGGTGATGTACTGAAATGGATCGGCTACGATGGGGAGACTGAAGAGAGCTGCTGCGTACGTACCTTTGCGGCGGCTGGGTCGCAGCGATTTCCCTCTTCGACTCCTGGGGCCCCAGGGCGCAATGACCAAGGAACACATCGAACACGCGATGACCTGCATTGCAGAAGCAGCAGAAGACGTGGCACCAAGTGTGGCAAGCGCAGTCTCAAGCGCACTTCTTACAAACTGACAAAGTGATATTTTGACTTACATGCCAGCATATCCAGCATCAAATAATATCAAATACCGTGTGCTTCATGTCTGAACTGTAATGCCGCACGCTAGTCACTACCTTTGCGGATATGCTTGTTGTATAGAATCAGGTCGAAACATGTTGAAACCAATGCCTGAACAGACATCGATGTCAGAGCTTTGATTCAGGTGTGCGCTGGCGCTCTGAGACCATGCTCACATGTTATCCAGGGGCAAATCGTGCCCGCTGCTCGGCAGAAATGGGGCAAAGCTGGGGAAGACATTTGTGGCGACAATTTTTACAGCGGAAAGCTTGAAGGCTTTAAGGGGAGCTGTGTTGACAAATTGACTTGGCCGGAGGCACAGGGGAAACTCCTCAATCAGTGTCGTTTTTGATTGCAGTGGACTGGAGGCTGTGGACTCCATGCATTTGGACTTGTGGTGGACCTGCCGGAAAGGATGTAACTTACCATTTTTGAGGTTCCCCCCTGCAAATATGTGGGGGTTCATTTTCCACATGTAAACCAGCTTGACTTGTGCCAGGATACTTTCGACATACGGACAATTCCAGAGCATCCAATTCCTCTGGAAATGGGCGCTTGCTGACGGCCTTGGTGTATCTCAATGTCATTGCCTTAGCAAGCCTAGTTGCTGGCACTTCCAGTGTGGATGGCCCATGATGGCCCTCGAAAGTTTTCAGGAGGGCTGGCAGAAGGGCGATGGTGGTGAACTGCGTTTGTTCTACCCAGGAGTTCACCATGGCACATAGGGAATGGTATGAAGCAGATAAATTTGTGAATGGAAGGTGTGTCATGAACATAACTGGTGGCAGGAGAGAAGAACCTCAAGGTCCCTTGCTGCATTGCTGTTCGTTGGCTGTGCTTGACCTAGGAGCATCGAAAGACCTTTCGGACACCCCTTGTTTGTTTTGGAAGGGCACTGAGCCTGCCAAGTGCTGTAACTTTGCAAGGTAAGAATGGAGGTGGAGCCCTTGTGGAATCGCTTTCTGCTGTTCTGGTCTGATGATCGTAGTCCTCACGAAGTGCTTTCGACACGTAAAGACCGTGACTCAGCTGAAGCAAGATGTTGACCAAGTCTTGGACTCACCGTGGCACAGCCGTGTTTTCCAAGGCTTTGCGGCAACTCTGTGGTACTATGACCGAAAGAACCCATCGATCCGATTGACAGCCCCTCAGTTGCAACTCCATTCATCCAGGAAGTCAACTCCAGGAACGCCAGGAATTCCAGAATGAATCCAGGGTGTCATGCCACCAAGAAGGAGGGTGTCAATGCCTCTTTGGTCTACCAAGTATGTAGCAGTGTCAAAATCTCAGCGGAGTCGATAGGAACAGATGCCAAGTTCGCTCTGGCTCATCCAGGAGGTGGGTGCTACGACTCACTCGGAGGCTCCGCCAAGGGCAGAGGCACAGCAGGAGGAGACACCCACTGAAGCTGCAGAAGCAGAGGTTGAAGCTGAGGAGAGGTGTTGGCGGCGGACATGAATGGAATCTTTCGCATTTGCTTGTATAATATACTGAAGTCATTCTGGCTTTCATTTTCGAAGGGATCCTGGAGGAGCCTCAGCTCATCTTGTTCTATGATGGAGAAGATGCAGAAATCATGGGGCCAGCTGGCTGCAAGATGCAAGTGGCAACGACGCTTCGGTGTGGAAGTGTAGGTCCCAGGAAGGGCCTTCCTTAATGAAAAGGTCTCTTCTCCAGTCTGACATCCCAAACGCCTGCAGTCGCCCTCTACATCCCTCAGCACCCTGGCAGACCCTGGATCCAAGGCTTGCCGATAAGCTGGATGACCAACGTGTGGCCAAGCGTGTAGACTTGCGAGGCGATGAGCTTGGCGAGGCGTGGAGAGAGGTTTCAGCCGAGAGGGTTGGGTTGAAAGATGGATTCTAAGTGCCGCTTGCGGAGAAGACCTATGCGCCAATGTATGTACTGTATATACCTAACATTACATATAACTGTTTAACAAAACATTTCAATTCTAAGGTTTAAAAGACAAGGTGGTAGCCGAGGAGCCTCATAGAGCCGGGGAGTCGGCAAGGCCTTGGAGCAGGCCGGCGAGAACTGGGCCCAGCTGCTGGCGAAGGGCGCAGATGCAGTGATTGAAGAGGCGCAGATCTCATGCCTCATGAGATGCAAAGGAATTTGATGAAGATATAAGATCACGAGGATGATGTTGACTCATTTCAGGGTCTTTAGTTCCGACCCATGCCAATGCCTACTTTATTTTTTGGGGTTGCTGAACAAGTCTCAAGTCCTTGTTTGAGTGATGCATGATGTTGAGATGTGCGACATGATGCAACTGTGCGCCACCCAGTCCAGGCTGGTCAGCTATTCCTGCGCCTTCCCACAGGGGAGTTGCTCAAGAATGGTGAGAATGAGCAGTGGATGCTAGAGCACCACAACAAGCATTGGAGGGAAGGGTTGGAATTTCTTCGCGGGAAGCACTGTGCGTTCCCAACTATCGAGCACGGTGCTTTTGCAGTGCTTCTGGCCCAAACTGTGCATTATTTTTTTCTTCACTGTTGGGCATGCGGTATGCTGAGGTATGAGTTGAACTACTGGCAGCTCGCCTTATATAAGTTTCTCATTCAATGCAGGTAGGGACTCGGGACTTGCACCAAACCTGGTAGAAAGCTGCTGAGAAGATTTGGTTGTATATCCTTTTGTTCTTTTGTTTACTCTAGTGCTCTTAGTTCAGAGCGCCTGCTGATGCTTGAGCATCGCTTTTTGTATCTTTCTCAGTCGAACCCAGGCGCTTGGTCAAGCCTCCCAGTGACTCTACGTCGCAGCGCCTCCAGGTGAGCCAAAAAGGGACACCAAAAAAGGTTTTCCAAGTTTTCCTGGCTATTGTGTCCAACAATAGTGACTAGTGAGTCATTTATCACTTGAAGTCAGCGAATGAGGGAAAGACGGAGGAAGGAAGGACGGAACGGAACTGGAAGGGGAAGGGGAAAAAGAAAGGAAAAGGGAAAGGAAAGGAGGAAGGGAGGACTACAGTATTCCGACAGATGCAGATAAGTGTTCAAGCAGGGATAGGCTCAAGGAAGGAATGTTCGTTTCTTTGACATTCGATCTTGCAAAAAACGAAGAACCACTTAGTAACAGGTGCCACGCTAGTAGTAACAGGTGCCACGCTAGTAGTAACAGGTGCCTTGCTAGTATAGTAATAAGAAGCTACTAGGAACAAGTGCATCGCTTCTAGTAACAAGTGCCTTACTAGTAGTAACAAGAAGCTAGTAGAAACAAGTGCCTTACCGTCACCTGTATGACATTGTTGCAGGAGACCCTTTTTGCTCCACTGGCTGCACTCCGAAGCAACTTCGACCCCTCCAACGATGCGGGTGTATGGTGGGCTACACCGGAGGCTGTCTCTGTTTGGGGTCAGGCTGGGATCCACGAGCTGCCCGTGCTGCGGTTTCCTTCTGACATGGACAAAGCTGTGTGAGGCGCTCGCACGTGAGAGCTTCGCTGTCCTGGACCGGCATCATGTATCATCAGCTTATATAATCATTTTGATTTCAAGATCTATTTATTGATGGTGATCTCTATAGGTGTGTTGCCCCGTTTGATATGTTGTTGGGTGTGTGTCATTGTACCCAAACACGATCCAACCCTAAAGAAAGACTCGAGGGTCTTGTAGGTCTTGGAGGACGCTACTGTACTCAGACCATCCAGCAAGTCCAATTGCCTCTCAAGCCTGTTCAAAGGAGCAACAAGAGTTATATACTGAACTAGCGGTTCTGGACCTGGATTTTGGATTGCTTTTCATCGACGGCCCCTTTGCAGGACGACTTTCTTCCAGTTGCAGACGCGAAAAGCCTAAGAGACGCTGTGCAGCGCATGAAGCCAGACATGGGTCCAGGAAAGACCGATTCCACACTGTCAGCTTCAGGTTTCCGACTCAGAGCGTATGCGAGGAGCGTAGAGTTTTGTAATCCTTATTATCCTAGGCCATGATTCTGAATGCCCAACTCTTGCCACTGACTTGCCTTTCTAGCAGCCTCATGTTATTCTTTGGGACCCCCTTAAGCTTCCTGCAGAACCACATGTTGGGATCGGACCAATCCGAAAAAGAAAGTGAGACTCCGCTTAGAACACCGCGGAGTTTTGATGATTTTTGGACGTTTCTTTGTTTCCTCAGGTCGAGGTGACTTGGTGCTGTGGGTCCCACCGGATGACGTACCGGAAATGGGCATGCTGGCTGCATGTTCAGACCGTCCTCCCGTCCTGTCCGGGGGTGGGCAACATTGGGACGACCGAGGACGGTTGGTGGAATTCACCAATGCAGTGATTACCCTTTTGATGGAGCTCCCCCAGGAGCCTTGGCTTCATGACGCAGGAAATGCAAGACCCTTCTTCTGGGAGTTGATTGGGCCTCAATCCCTGTGGAGGAGAGCATACAAGCAAGAACGCAGCAGATCACCGCGCTCTCCGATGCACAGCTGACCAGCTTTCCAGGCAGCATCGACAATGCATCTCAGCCGCAACTACTGCCAGGGCGAATGCCATGGCCCCCGTCATCCCAGTTTCCGCGTGCAGCGGACACTGAGGACGATGCTCGTTACATCCGCCATGTCGACAATGAGGATGGCCGGAATGGACGAGCCATGGCAGCCATGGATCATCCTCTGAACACTTCTAGCTTTCAACGGTTTGGCTCATTTTGTGGTATTTCTCGCGGTTGCTCAGGATTGGTTACTTGTACATTCTATTTGAACGAAGATTGGGATGAGGAGAAGGATGGTGGTGAGATCCGCCTGTCACAAGCTCAGCTTTGTGTGGCAATTCCCATTTTCCAAGAATATCTATATAAAACTCAAGCATTGTAATGCCAGTGCAATGCCGGGATGCCTTTGAGCTTTATCGGAACTTTATCGCTCAACGACGCATGTCGCAGAGGTTCGAGCCGGACCACCAGCGGATCAAAGCAGACGTTGCTCCAAAGATGAACCGTGTCCAGACCCAACTTTGGTTGGATTGGACGGTTGTCGTCAATCGTCAATGTTTCATGCCGCATCATATGTATATATAATATGTGTGCTTTGCTTGTGTTTGTCTTTGACAGAGATCCGGTAAAGACATGACCCTGCTTACTAGCACCTCGTCTGCCGTGATCTGCCGTGTTCTCTGCATCGCATGGGGACGCATCGAAGGTCTGGTGATCTTCTTTAGCGACTCCTCGGTGCCCCACGAGGTGCGGCGCTGCCGCCGCAGCTCGGCGGAAGGGAGTTCGACAGACATCCGTGGACGGGTTCCCATGGAGCGCGTGAAGGGTTCTCATGGCATCATCTTTTGTACTGTAAAGTTATGTTCACCCACTCCCCCAGAGATTAGCAGCTAAGTCTAAGTGGCGGACTGAACTGTAGAGTCTTTTGTTTCGTTGGATTTGTATGGGAGGTCTGGTGGTTCTGATAGGTTGGTATCCCACATGCAGAAATTGGTCGTCCCTATGACCAGTGGCCTCCCCAAGAAAGAAGGGACTTGCGAGGGTCATGTGGCTGTGGTCAATCACTCGCGGGTGGTCCTTCAGCTTCACCCCAACGTGTCGAGGCGAGAAAAAATATCCCATGTGACCCATATGATATCGCTTTTGTCCAAATGATCCTGTCAACATGATCCACCTAATCTACTTGTGCGACAGATCAAGCTGGGTGTTCACTTCGGAAGTCTTCAGAGTTCAGCACGTTTTGTCTTTTTGTACCCGAGGTGAGAGATATGCGATTACTACGTGGTACATTAACCAGGTGCAGAGAGTTTTGTCCACTCATTGCAATGTCGCGAACGGCGCAAAGAGGGGACTGGTGGCTCATAGTCACAGGAGATGCACTTGGAGTACCACCAAGCCGAAGAAGAAGGTCAATGATTCCTGACGCGCTGGGTGTTTCATTAGTTCCAATAGACCGCCGTTTCTCGCCTCACACCGAGACGCAAGAAAACGGCACGCAGACGCGAGCAAGGCGCGAGCAAGGCGCGCAGACCGGTGTCTCGGTGGATCTGGACAGACCGCACGGTCTCGCCCTGGTGCTTTCCGTCAGACGGGCAACGTGAAGGCAGCGTGGTCACCTCAGAGCGACACCCGCGCCGATGCGACGCAGCAGAGCGCGGAGAGGCGTTAGGCAGTCGAAAGGTGGAAAGCAGTTTTCCAAGCAGCTGCAAGTTTTGCACTCCAGCACTGATCCACGAGGTGTGCAGCATGTGGCTGCATATGCTGTTGGTTCTGCTCAATGCCATGTGATGGAATTCTTGTCTGCCAAGTGGTTCAAGTCGTTTATTTCATTTGCCCTTTCGTTGCCGGCTGCTGGTTGGCAACGTTGCTTCGTGAAGCCGTTCCATGGCGTTCCTTGCTCCAAGTTAAAATATGGATCATTGTCTCACTAAATTCTCCAAATCCTAGGCTGGCAGAGGCTGGCAGTCTGCATTGTGAGTGTTTGAGAGGTCGAATGGAAGCCATGCTCATAGCATGGCTTCTTTGGCTTATTGATTTTCCAAGGCTACGTGTTTTTTTGCTAAGATTGCCTTTGGCCTGTCCGGAGCCTTAGAGGGTCCAGCTGTGCGGGCTGGAAAGCTGACAAAGATTGCTCAGCGTTGGTTGACGGGTTGCTCAGCAAGTCTTTGAGGCCTTGGTCTCCTAATCACAGGAGAAAGTGCTCATGTCCAGACAGAGAAGGTGGGAGATGGGATCACTAGATTTGGCTGCCAAGCGTCAAATCACGCCTCGGGGCAAGCATATGTGTGAGACTTCTTCAGGCTGAACGGATAGCCTCATCCCCGAGACGAGAACTCCTCCGCAAGGAGGGCAAAGCACCTTTGACAGCAGCCTCCAGAATCCGACCACCAGTCTTCCTTGTTTTGTGTCAACGCTCCCGCAGAGCAGCGAGCAACATAGCAGCATGGCATAGCATATCAAAGCCAAGTGTTCCTCACCTCATGCTGTGCTGACTCAGGACATCCAATCTCTCAAGGCTTCTTTGATGCAATGAACTTTCAAGCGTGACGGCTGTATGTTTGCTTCATGTCTTCCTACTGATTTTTGGTTATGGTGATTGAAGGTTGCCCCAGTGGCATTTGATGAGTACCGCTTCACCGTCGGCAAGACCAGAGAGGGCCAGGGCCCCGGCTTTTGTTCAAACTTGTCAAGAGATGTCAAGCTGCTCTCAGTCATGCTGTCATGCTATGTCATGCAATTCTTTGTTTTTACCCGCAAGCGCCCCTTGGTCTTCGTGAGAAACGCAGGCCAGTCGACCTATCACATATCAGAATTCTACCTCTCCGATCCTATGGGCGAGGCGCGTTTTCGTGCAGAACGCATCGCGACGCGTTGCAGTTCGGGTTGTTTGGGTTGAACGGAACGCATACATAGGCTCTTGGAAACAGGCCTGAACAAAAACTAGATTCAGATGCGGGACCAGATGGTGTCCGTCAGGAGAGCATGGCACTTGAATCAAGTGTGTATAGGTGGTGCTTTTTTCTCATGGCACTTGCAGGCGCTGAATCTTGATGACCCGAACGTTGGACTCAACATCGTAAACAGCCAGGCAACCAATGGATGAATTGTCCGCGCCAGGAACACTTGTTGCTTTCGGATACGCTTTCCTCGTCGTTGTTGGGGTGAGGCAATAAATCCAAAGAAGCTCGTGGATAGCGATCTCTCGACAAGCCGGTGTCCCAGGTGTCAGCGTGCACAGGTTCATGTTGAATCACACGCTCATGATGCTGAACATGGCTTGGACTGGTTTGATGACTGCAATGCTGTTGAAATTGGCCTTTCATGGCTTTCTTTCTCTATGGGGCAGCTCAGTGCTTCTGTGAAACGGCGATTGATTTGAAACAGCATGTCATTGCCAGTGTCAACGATTAAGCCATGGTGCGCATACTTGAGGGTCGAGACAGGTTTTGGACGTGACACAGGTCCGATGTCCATGCAGCTTTTTGCTGCCACAATCTCACATGCCATCACATGCCATCACGTGCCAACCTATAGCACCAGTTGGGCTGATCAAACTGGACAGTTCCACGCTTCTGGATGTTGGATATGTGTGGACTGCTGAGGTCTTCAGCTGACTTTTGATCAGCCCTTGGTAGTGAGGGTTAGTCCGGGCACTTTAGTGGCAGCCTTTGGCTTCAAGACTTCCGAGGAGAGATCATCAGTGCCACTTTGCTTCCTCTTTTGTGATCAGTTCAGGGTTCATCAAAAGCAGCGTTGGGGCACATGCTCCATTGACAGGAGGATTCAGGCTCTGATCCAACCTCCTTCAAATTGGAAGGCTCTATGGATGGCTCCACGTGGTATTTGTTGAGTGAGAAGGCTGGCAATTCGTTTGTTTACATTTGCTTTGGTTAGTTTCTCTCCTCAGCGTGGCCTGGTTGGAGTAATGGGCACCAGACAGCGAGATGAATGAATAGCTTTGAATCAAGTTCCAGTGTACCTTTTGACCTCCCCTCACGACGTCTTGATTTCAAGTTCAAGCAATGCCAAGCGCCAACACATTTTGAGTGGCCTTACCCCCTTTAAAGTCCTTCCCCTGCCAGACTGCCTATGACACACCTCAAGAGCGTGGAGCGACAGTTGGACCATTCACTGTCTCCAAGCACCTTGGCTGTGAGAATCCTAGTAGATAAAGGTTGCGATCATCCATCCACCAAAACGGTCCAAAAATATTGTAAAATAGGGATTGTAGGAATTCATGTCATCAATTCATATCACTCAAAACATTTCATATATAACAACATCACATCATATCACCTCAACCAGTTTCATCATATTTCATCATCAAAATCATCAACATCAAAGCATTCTATAACCTCATTCATTTGTAGGAATAAGAAAGAATCGAATCCTAGAAATATGTCACGAAAGCTAGCATGCTAGCTGAGTTCTTCTTTGCTTTAGCAATGTTGTGGTGGGAGGGGCTGATTGATATATCAAGCTAACCCCCCCCCCCCGCCCCCCCCGCGGTTCAACTCCCAGCTGCGCCGCGTAGGGGGTTGGTTGAACGTGTGAACGTGGTTGGTTGGGTGTAAACGGTGGCTTGGTGTAAAGGGTGCTGCTGCTGCTGCCGCTCTGCTGCTTGCTGCTGCTGTTTGCTGCTGCCGCTGGTTGCCGCTTTTGTAGCTGCTGCTTTGCTACTTGTTGCGGCTTGGTGCTGCTGCTGCTGTTGCTGACGACGCCGCTGCTACTGCTGCTTGCTGCTTGCTGCTTGCTGCTGCTGCTTGCTGCTTGCTGCCGGTGGTGCTTGCTGCCGGTGGTGCTGCTGCGGCTTGATGCTGCGCTGCGGCTGCGTGGTGCTGCTGGCTGGCTGCTGGTTGGTGGTTGCTGCTGGCTGCTGGCTGCAGGCGGCTGCTGCTGCTGCTGCTGCTGCTGGCTGCTGCTTGCTGCATAGGACTAGTACTTCACCGTTACAAGTTGTTTACCCCTATTTCTAACCTAATGCATGCATAAGCGGGTGGTAAATTTACCCCCCAGGCTTGCTATAACCATACACCGGCTATTTCCTCAAGACACTCTATTCTTGATACCTTTCACCAGTGCTTATCCTACACTACGGACGCCCTAGTGTATGCACAGTCCTTGTGATGCTTACCCCTCGTTCCGGCTCAAGGCATACATAAGCGGGGGGTAAATTTACCCCCCAGATTTGCCGTAACCATAAGCCGGCTATTTCCTCAAGACACTCTACTCGTTATACCTTTTACCAGTGCTTATCCTACACTACTCTACGGATGCCCTAGTGTATGCACAGTCCTTGTGATGCCAGAAATGCTTACCCCTCTTTCCAGCACTCTATTCCATATACCTTTTACCCGTGCTTCTCCTACACTACGGACGCCCTAGTGTATGTACAGTCCGTGTGATGTCAGAAATGCTTACCCCTCTTTCCGAGTCAAGGCATACAAAAGCGGAGGGTAAATTTACCCCCCAGATTTGCCGATCACGCATCTTCGTGCCTGCCAACGAGTGCACCCGGGTTTTTCCAATGTACCCTTCCCAGTCAGCAATGTCACATTTACATTCTTTAGCGCAAAGTATGTACATAGCAACCTTCCTCCCAAAACATGTCATCCCTACATGCTTTGCCGACTATGTAACTAGTACATCCGGTGCGATTCGGCTAGCTTTCGACCTCTCCCCCTGGCCTCAAGTTTTTGATAAAAGCAATCGGGTCCAACCTTGTTCAGTTTCATTCACAATGTCATATCATGAAATCCCCAGAAATCATACATCTAATTACTAACAACCGATATCATACATTAGAATTACGGTGTTAAAGGTTTGAACCTGTGTATTTCCATAGGTTGCTCCTTCTTATGGTATGATTTTCCTTGTATGTTGTTTCCATTGTGAAGCAGTCGTACCGTTCTTATATTTGTGACAAAATGCATAGTAAAACACATACCCCTGAAGTTTTCAACAGCTTCAGTCAATACATAAACATGTGTCATCAAATGCACATCGTGATGTTCACCAAGGTTTTCAATATTGAAACTATTCCAAAGGACATCTTGCCCTAGCATAGTCGTTGTCAGTAATGTTTTCTTCATACAAATGACTGTAAAGGTGCTTTTCAGGCAATTGTTCCTCATCAAACTTATCAAATGACTTCATATAACCATATGGGTAAACTCCCTTATCAGTCAGTACATTCAAATCTGTGTTGCTTTTATGTACGCGTCAGATTGAATGTATCTGAAATGAACTTGACTGACTAACATATCCAGCGATGCTGACAAGAATGAAAAAAACTGTCATTGAAATGCAATGAAGCAAATGACAATGCAATTAACTTCTCACTGTTGTGAATGATAACATATATGCGTATATATTTTCTGATTTTCATTGAACTCTTTGTTAATTTCATTTTTCCGTTTTGATAACCAGATGACCATGATAGTTGTAAGGATTATGAAAGAAATGATGGGTATTGAACGCTTAAATGAATACTTGAGGTAGTCTAGATTATATTTAACGCGCGCTGCTCCTTTGTATTTACCAGTGAAGTGGCAGTGATCCCTAACTTATTCATCCTCAGGATTGAAGTTCTTTTTGAAAATTGAGCA